CTCTTGGTAGAGTGGAAGGTCGTGTACTTGTATCAGTTTGATCCGCTGTTTTTGCCAAACTGACGTTACTTTTGATGTGGGTTAGTAGACAATTGCCTCTTTTCCTTCCAAAGTTCGCTTAAAAAATCGGGTTTTGTCAATAATGGAGGTGCATATTGTACAGAAAGACGACTGACAAGGATTTAGGTTAGTCATCTTACTGTGATCATGTGCCACTGAGGTACGGCCGTAGGACTTTGTACCCGCTCTCGCATATCCGGTGCTTTGCCGTTTTACGTACATTCATGCATAGAAGACTCCAGTCATCGGTGACGCAAATGCATGCAAAGTGTCGCGTTGCTTAAATTGCACCGAAGTACTTTCTTCAGGAGGTGTTCTCTGCCATTACTATCCAAACAAGAGTTAACGGACACTGCAATTTGAATGATGGTTGCCAATCCAATGACACGTCTATACGCTCACGCAAAATTCCTACATGCGTGGAGCAGCAATCCTCTTGGCGGAGCTGCTGCATCCCTTAGTCGCGTTAAGGGGCATCTTGTGCGCGTTTGCTATCCATGCTGCAGTTGACAACCAGTACTAATCTTAGATGTGTATGCATATACACTTTCAGTTACAATAAAAATGCACCTCCTGGCGCTTATATATGGGCTTGTCCGTCGCTTTTAATCTGTTTTATCGCGCTGAATTCGTGCCGTCGACTTTTTAGTTATTATTCATGTCTTTCTGTTTGTGTTTAAAGAGATGCGTGACCAGACAATGCATGAATTATCACTAAGCCTTAATGCGTCTGGCCTGTAGTCAATGTTTTTATACCTCGTTTTATAAGTAAATGCAATTATACGTAATCATTTTGATGGAACCCCGTTTTTGGCTTCTGTTTTCGTGTCGCAATTGTCAGGGACTAATTATTCAAATTGTAACACCGTAGTCCTGGGATTTTGGTGAAACCAATGGGGTGTTCCAGTGGCTTCAATTATCTTACCGCTCAGACCACGTAACACTTCGGGTTTAAACCACTTGTACTTTTACTTGTGATGGTTCGATCTTGATTACTGCCAGATTAACTAAGCGTCATCTGTTTTTCATCACCTGTAGTATATATTTTTTTTTGAAGAAATTTCGTTTTAGGTCTCGAAGTTGTTTTTGATGCGAATGGTTGGTATAAAAGCTTGGTCTAACTCTGATTTCAGCCCACCACGTCTGAATGTTTTGATGTTGTCATGGAAGATGATCGCTCACTTTCGTGCACATAGTTCATGTCTGTCTTTCGGGTCTAGATTCAGGATAACGCATTTGCCCTTTCGATCGATTTTTTCGGATGCTTGATGTTCTTTAGGTCTGAAAATCCCCAATGTTTGCGATATAAATCCCATGTCATCGTACACATTTATCCAATCAAATAGCTTTTGTAATTGGAATATTATTTCGGGATCTTTTAGGAAGCAAATCCAATTTGATTTAGATGCTTCCCTCTATGAACATGCCAGAAAAATAATTCTGGGGGATCTGTTCTTATCACTGAATAACTAGACTAAGCGATTTTGCGTTTTTGTTAATTTCAAAACCTGCACTGTAAGTTTTACTGCCTCCCATACACATCCATGGATTGCGACTAGATTCCGAAACACTACGATTACATTAGTAAACTCACATATGTTCGCTGAGCTTATTTTCTGTTACTTTTTAAAAGTGCGTTCAGTAATGCTAGTGCTCGAGCCCAGGCAAACTTTTTTCAACTCTTTTGTTGTCTACACGATCGATCCATTGTATAAACTTGCTTTTTCATTCCGTGATACTGACTCATTAATCTTTTCTTAGACGCATCCTGGTTCCACAGATCAGTCACCTCAAACGACAACACAAGATACTGAAAGCGGCACTGGATGGAACACAGCCCCTGCCACAAGTGGAGCCGCTCCATGGAACCCTGATACTGGTTCTAAAGACGTTCCAGTTGGTGATGGTGGTGGTGGTGGGTCCCGTCAGATATGCGTGGCGCGTTTCGCCTACACGGCATGCCAACCGGATGAACTGACCATTCGGCGTGGTGATCGCGTCTGTGTGCTGGAGAAGAGCTCCGATGGCTGGTGGCACGGAATGCTGCTCCCACCGAATGGTTCCTCGGTGCCATATCAACGACAAATTACCGGGTGGTTCCCGTCAAACTACGTTACGATGGAATCTTCCTCCAAGTATGTTGTTTTCAGTCCCCTTTTTGATTTTTCTTCCTATTACCACCGTGGGCTGTTGCGTGGTCAAGGAATATTGCATGTTGTTTTCCAATGTTGTGGGCAGGATGTTTTTCGAGGTACCCAGACAACAGCTAGAAGATCTGAATCAGTAAAGATCTGAATCAAGTTTGTTGCGTCGCTGTGTGCTTGATTTACGTTCAAAGATGATTGCTCTTTGCCATTCAATGAGCATATGTCATTGAGTAAGTGTGAGGTTAATGTGGAGTCAAATAAGTAAGCCCTGAGACAAATCACTGGTGACCAATAAATAACAATTTCGATCCATTTGAGGATTCCTTTGTAGTAGTCTGTCGTGTGATTAATTGCCTGAGGGTCGGTAAGAAAATGGACTTCATTCAACCGACAGGAATGGTAATGCATTTTTCATTGTGTCTGTTGAAGATAAAGCGTTTTCTTCTAGGCTTGCTGAAATTTTAATCATTGGTTGTTCGAAAATTGGCCAACTGACCCTAAATATTGAGGTAGTGGTGGTTGTTGCAGTGACAAGACTGAAGTGAGTGAATCTTTGTCGTGATGTTCTGAGGATATTTCAATTGCCTCATGCACTGAAACGACCCTGATTGTGTACTAATCCACTCGAATGTGTGTCTTTACAAGGCTGCTTGCAGTCAACCTTGAATTTTACGTGTTTCATTGTGTCCGAAAACCGCATGTGGGCATTAAACCAGTGTTGTCATGATGCACGTGGCCACACAAAGCAGGTGGTGCCGATTGTGTCGGCGTATTTACGCCTGCCATGCAGCGGTAAAGGAGGCTTTAGTGGTTTACTTGGCGATTCAGCATGAGTACTTTGTAATGCTGATCGGATTTATTCAGAAATGTGCGATAAAATATTTTCATGTAGTGTGGCCCTCGGTTTACAAATCCGACTTTCTTTCGCGCCCTTTTTTCTACGAACTTGGCTGTTATTGGTGTTTAAACTAGCTTCGCTTTCGAAGCCAGGTAGCAGTCTTGTCGCTTCGTTATCGCGCCATGGATGGCCTGCTAATAAACCCGCCTCTTTGATAAACCGTTGATTCCATATCCATAAAGTAATTATGAAATTGTTTTGTATTATCGTCGCAGACGTCTGTGGCCTGGTTAACATTATGTCCCACCTTCTCCCAGTTGTCAGATCTTTGCGTTGGCCTGTTTACTTCACAGTTTCCTGTATTACTAATTTGTGTCATCGCAACAATTCTTATTCTCCCTACTTGTATTGTTGTGGATATTGTTTGAACTAAGTACCCTTTTTTAACCACTTTCTGCTTCTTCTACTTCCTATAAAATAAATGCTCATCGTTTTTATGAAATGGTACCATCCTTCCTTTCTTGCCTTTTACTTTGGAGAACTAATCTAAGTAATTGTAAAAAGTTGTATCTTGTTAAAGGCATTGCTCGTGGCTTTTGAGTTTTCATTTACCGTTTCATTTTTTACACTCGTCCATGTTGAATCTGTCTAAGCAGTCTTTTTTTCCAGGATGGTTAACTGCCTGCCAAGATTCGAGTCATGTTCCACTTGAGGTATTACAGCTGCTCTGTTGCGTGTTAAGCAACTTAACCCCTTCATCTAGTAGTAGCTCGTATTTTGGCGTTCTCACCTTATAATCAGCTAATTCAACCGTCAGGGTTTAGTGCACCCAGTCAACTTTATCGTTTTATTGAAGAATTGGCGATGTTGGCTACAGAGTACTGTCTTGGAATGTCTTCTATTTTTTTCCACTTTCTTACCAATGAAAACTGACTCTAGTCGAACTCAATGCCATGTGTTCTTATCCTCTTTCGTAAACCTTAACTCCCCAAACTCGTAATGCCTTTGCAGCGCTTTCTTAACTCACTTTTTTTCAACTCGCGATGTTCCGGGGGCATAATCCACAACCTTTGTGATTTAAACGTTCTCTAATGCCTACTAGTATTTTTTAACTTAATCCATATTTGTGTAGAACTTACTCAAGTGTCACCTCGTGAAACACGTGTTTAGGTTCTACAAACATGATATTTTCTAGCCAGCCGTGTCCCTTGCTGCGCCTCGCTGCTCGTGAATTTGTCAAGCAAGCTTTCTAGTTAATCTTTTTAGGGCGGTGATCTAAACCCTTTCGTTGTCTTTGCTTCGTTAATTTTACTTTATTCATTCCAGTATACTTTAAATGCGCGCACTTCAGCCGGTAGAAGTTAGCTGTAACTTATCAAATCGGTCCCAAGACGGCGTGAACTTCAGAGGAGACAGCTTGTACGTGGTCGCATTTGCCTCATGTACTTGCTGGCTTGGCACTTGGGGTATTGGTTGTGCCGTCCGTGTGCTGGCAGCGTTGTTTTCGGACCTTCGATTGCTGCTGCTGCTGCTGGCGGTGTGTGCGCATGTGCAACTGCCGGAGTGCATCACGTGCCTGCAATGCGGATTCATTTCTCCCGATCCCAACTGCCAGTCCATGAGGTCTCCGCACGCACGCACACACACACACACCATGAAATTTGTAGCTCACATTTGATATCGATGTGCTGGCTATCGTGAACGAGATGTGCACCTACTAACTAACGCCGTTTCGGAGGTAGTTAACGTGATGTTACCAAAGGGCAGAATGGGAGTTCTTAGTGGAAAGGTTTTTTCATTGTCTCATTCGTCTTTTTTTCCAACACTCGTGTTTTTATTACGTAGCTAATTTGGTGGCTCCCAACTTTCCGTTACCGTCTCCATGGATTAATTTCAATGAAGTTTACAATGCCGGAATAACATATTTCCCTTCGGTAGTTGTGTTTTCCTTTCAAGCGAATACATTTATCTTAGATCGGTTTGAATTTGACGAACTAGCAGTAAATGGTTCCAAAGTCCTCCAGTATGTTGGGTTTTACACCTATGTTTTACCAGTCGTCAGTTGCGATTTTGGCCGCGCTTACTTGGGTACATTGCTGACACCTTTTGTTGTCACATACGAACGAAATTTTGAGTTCCGCAATTGACACATAAATTACCAACCCACTAACAAGTCTCAGCCGAATCTGTGTCAGTAAGAGAAAGAAACTCTGAAATACGACACGCAGGGATCGACTCCGCCAGAGCGATTCATCAATCCCATGCCTCTATTATTTCCCAATAGCTACGTCTGCTTATTCCAAATTTTTATTTCGGTGTTTGTTTAGCAGTCTCCCATTGGTAAGAACTTTCATTATTGCAAAATCATGCTTACTAGCGGCTGCCACGTCTTGAGGCAGTTCCGCCAGTCAACTTCAGCCATCCCCCTACTTCTTTAACAGGGGAAATTTTGGAGGTCAGTGTAGTTAGTGCACTTCTCCTCTGTCCGTGCGAACCTTTGCCTTTGTGCAGGTATTGGGTTGGTTTCCGCTAATTGCTAGCAGGTATTCATACATTTCGGCGACACACGTTTCCCCATTCCAAAAACTAGTCATAGTGCGCTTAATGATACTCACCAGGACATTTAATCGAATAATCAAAATATGGCCACCTAACGCACCTTGGGATCGAAGTAAAGCTTATTTTAAATCTCATTACAACCTCCTCTTCCCTATGCTCAGGACATATCTTCTACAGTCGCTCTCATTTACCGATCGTTGGTGTATATTGCATAATTTTTTATATTGGGGGGAAACGTTTTCCTTGACATGAGTTCCGAATGTATTTTTGTGCACTTTTTCAACTAACGATACCCGAGAATTTCTGATTCCCATTAAGTTAACATCAGAATTATCTCTTTATAAAGCTAGTTGACTTCAAACTATTAAGCAACATGGTTGTTCTACATCTACCTATAATCTTCTCTTCGCAGAGCTACCAATTACTGTTTCCATGTCGAGATGCACTATTGTAACAACTCGCAAAATTGCCTTTCGATTCTTCGCATTGACTGCCGACTTTCATAATTTTAGCCTGTTAACATGTAGTTTATTTTTACTTAATCAGACTCAATTTGCGCCCTATGTCTAGGTGTTTTAAAGTACGGCTCAACGGACATTGCATCTGAATTTCCCCGCTTCCACACCAGTCAGGCTTCCTCTTCTACTTGCGTTTCTGTGTAATCTCGATTCCAATGCGCTTTTTTTCACTAGGGCTAGATGAAAACAGTCTTTACCTCAAAGCACCAGAAAGAGCTTCATATGTCTCCCCCTCAGTTTTTTTTGTCGTCTTGTGTATAGTCTACGAATACGGTTATACGTTTCAGTCCTTAAAAAAAATTGGTCATCGTAGGTATCTGTTGCTTATTGACTCGAAGACAGTATTTCCATTTGCCAAAAGGCCTACGTTTTTGGTACCTTATTGCATTGTTGTCATTTATCATCAATAATTAAACCTCGAAATAAACGAATGAATGAAATATCTTTAAGCCAAAGAACCCTCCATTTTTTCTTGATGGCAACTGTTTACACTTAGACAACAAATTAATCCGATCAACTGATGTATATTTAGACCCGTTTGTAGCGGATTAGCAGATGAGAGAGTCGTGAAAAATTCGACGGATATCACCAATCAACGGCGTCAAAAATAAAGTGGTTTTATCATGTCGTGATAACCAAATGTGTAGTACCCGGATTTCATCATGTCGGGGTCACCAAATGAAGTGGCTTGTGGTCTAAGCACTGCCTTACAACCCTCTAGTTAACATCCCGTAACAACCCGAGAGTGGAGCGAAGAGAGGCGACAGTGAACACGACCGTTTATTACCGTCACGCCAGCCAAGTGTGTCTTAGTGTGTGTGTATGAGTGAACGGATGACAGGCGTCTAATACCGTAACCAATGAAAAGGAGATGAGTCATTGTCACCGTCAGGTCTGTAACCAGGGTTCACTCAGGCGCGATCGCTGTTAATCCGCTACACATTGACCACCATTCCCCACCGTCATTTTAGGGGGACAAGTGCGAGTCAACCCAATAATTTGAACAGCAGTTCGCAAGCGCCTTCCGTCAACGAACCTGAGGTGCTGCCACTCCCTGCGATGAGCACCAAACCTAGCCCTATGCCCTCCGTCTCTACTGCTGCCGCTTCCGTCTCCTCTCCCCCAGCCCAGTTATCTGCGTCCCAGAAACCCCTAGCCCCTCCTTCGGTTGCCTCGTACTCTGCTGTACCCTTCCCTACCTCGTCGGTTTTTTCCTCTGCTCAACCCCAGCAGCCACAACCATCACCCTGCACAACGTCTGCACCTGATGGAACAGGCGATGTCGTGGACCCTGCCTCTCACGACCGACTTCAACACCAGGAAACTGTCCTTACACTCTATCCTTTCACTAGAAATCAGGTAAGTGGTGCGTGTAAGGCTCTTGATGTTAATTGAAAAAAAAGAACAAAAGCAGAGTTCTACTTGATCTTTTTTTGCGTTCGCTTGATTGTTAGGGTTTTTTAGCATGCGTGGTGATGCCAGACCACAGGCTAATATTCCCACTACTAATCTTTTCTCCACAGGCTGAGGAACTCTCTTTTGCAGCTGATGAAATTCTAGAGGTTCTCGACAAACCAGCCGATGACCCAGATTGGTGGCGTTGTCGAAATGCCGTTGGAAATGTTGGTCTAGTTCCTCGTAACTACATCCGCGTCATCAAGAACCCATTTCCGTCGTCTCACCCACCACCCCTACCCCACCAGTCACAACCACAGTATTCTTCCTCTGTCCCACCGGCAGTACCGCAATCTCATCGGGTTATCAGTGGTGAGGGAATCAGAATGGCTTTCGCTCTGGCCTCAGCGAATTCCGCTGCATTTGCCCGAAAACCCTGGTATTGGGGCGTCATCTCACGATCCGAGTGTGAAGCTGTTCTAACCGACCTGGCTATTTCCGGGGAGTTCATAATCAGGGACAGTGAATCCCATGTAAGTAAACTTCTGTTTCAATAATTTACTGTTTTGTTATCCTAACCATTTAACCCAGCCCTTTTCGTCTTCCACTATGGTCATTGCTAATATCTTTGTGCTGTTGAATTAATATATGGCCTGACTCGTCGTGTTTCTGTCACTAATAAATTATTTTTGGTAGTCTACCTGTTTACACACCCTCGTCCTTGGTGGTGTTTTCCAGTATGCTTTGTGTGGCCGTGATCGTTTGTGGCTTCATTTCGTTTTTTACTTCAAAAAATTGTCCATTTGTGGATAAGTACATTTAGTATGTGACATTAGGTTCCCTTGCTCAGCAAATAATTTGTTGTGAATCGTGTTGATTCACACTCGTTGATCCTGTCGCTCCTTTCGCCATCACCATGTCCCCCATTTCACAGTATGCCGTCAGGCGAACGTAACCTGAACTCACACTTCCTCAGCCCTACCGATTATCACCACGTGTGGTAACATTCACCCATGGTATTTATATCACACATCTGTGCCATAAATACATACGCGCGAACGCCACACACGACACGACGACACAAGTAAACGATTGTGTCCACGTCCTTTCCGGTCTTTTTTGTCATCGCGGGTTGTAGGGTAGCGTAACCGGACCAGATTCGACTCAGCGGCCCCGGCGTGGTTTGAGACTCAATCCTGGGGCTCATAACAAATTTTATCGTCGGAAATTTAGTGACCCTCAATTTAAATGATTTCCTCGTAAAATCTTAAGCTTTCCAGGCTTAATTGCGATCTCTTGTAATGTGAGGTTAATCATTTAATTGTACCCTCTAATGGAGGTGACTTGGGTTTCAGCTGCAATTCACCTCTACCGGAATGGAAAACTTGTTCGATTAACCGAGGACACAGTTATCAGCGTTTTATCGCCGCTGGAAAGGTTCTGTAAAGCACTTTTATTCACATTACCGATTCACCTCAGGCGGCTAGCAAATGTTTGATTTCAACACTTAACAATTTCTTGCTTAATGCGTGTTAAGACAAAACGCAAATCACTACAGTTACCCCGCCCCCCCTAACGTGCTTTCGTGTCACACATTTAGGTTGTCCTGGTGGAAAGCGCTGCTAACACGGTTGATTGTCCTCATGTGCCCTCGGGCCCAGTGAGTGCCGTGTTCCTCTTTGAGCGCTGTGTACACCACAGACCGTAATTATTGTATTAATTCAACGATAAGTGTATTGAACTAAATGAAAAACTCTTACCACACCAATGACGAATGGTGGTTAAACGTAACAACGGATTCATTGCGCAATGCATACAGAGCATGTGGCTACATCCTCAATATTTCCTTAACTTAGTGATCGATGGTCACTGTTGCTAATACACTATATTTTGCACCATTTATGTCATTCCAGTACCGCAATATCACTAGTCGTACATTGTATTTTATACTGACAGGTTTTTATGTGTCTTTACAGTCAAAAAGGCCATGCAAAATAATGCATTCATGCTTGTCTTTAGTGAGCTTATGTGCGGTTATCTTCTACCCATATTGTATGCATAATTAGCCGGAGGAGCTGCAAACGTTACTCCTTCTGCCTTTCTGTTAGGCTCTGTTGCTAGTTGGCTATGTGTATGTACACAAGTACCCCTTTTTACCATCGCATCCAACGGGGCGTCATAGGTACTGTCCAAGTTAATTTATGTGTCCCTAGGTTCGGTGAAACCAAAGAAATGCTTTGCGATACCTAGGTTGCTGTGGTCATTTGTTTCACTGGCTATATCTTAGCTGATTGACCTTGTTCCAAGTGTATCCACCCTCATTAACATAGCATGTCTCTCGGTTTCTTTGGTAAAAGTTACAATTGCAAAATATTGTAATTTCTCAGTTACCTCGTGTTTTATTTTAAATATGTAGTAATTTGAAGCAACTTAGCTATTCGCGTAATCTTTTAATGCGCCTTCTTATTAATTTGTGAATTAAAGATATCATTTTTGTGCAATCGCGGAATATACGTTTTGATTACATCTAAAAATTTTTATTAATGACCAAGTACTCGTTATAATCGACATATTATGCTTTTTAGATATTCGTTCTTCGTTGATTCATTGAAGTCATAGTCTATTTTAACCAATATATACACATACGTATCAAAAACTTTCTAGCCACTTTATTTCCTACTGTAGCCCGGCGATTTAACAATCACAATGAATGCGGGTGCCAAAAACCGGAACTTTAAGGTGCACGTTGAAAACGGCGAATTCCATATCGGTCAAAAGGTGTTTTCCAGCATAGATGCACTTATCGATAATTATCGTCGACATCCGATTTACAAAAGTGACCAGGAGAAGCATTTTCTCACCCGACCTTTTCAGCACCCTGACTGCGCCAATTTACTCCACAACCCTCCTCCACTTACGTCCTGTCTTCAACCCCCCATGTTGATGCAATCGCGATAAATCGATCCTTTTCAGCAAGATTAGATGTTATCAAACTGATTTCACCAACCTGCCAGCGATTCTTTTTTTCATGATTGAAAGCAACTTTTGTTCGCTTTGTGGCGCCAATGTTTTATTTCGTGCACATTTATGTGTCTGTGTGTGTGGGCCGCTATGTAGTGCTTATTTTACGATCTGTACATTACTGCGATTCTCTCCGAACTTATTACTACCGTTCTTTATTGTTGGTGGTAATTCTCGCTGTAACAATCCGCTCCATGCTCGTATATCTTCTATGACTTTCTGTTATCTTGGGTCGACTCACCTGGGATGTATAAAACCTCACATTGGTAGATAAGCCTACTTGTCGCTGTCTAAACCCCGCATCATGGGGTGTATTGACTTGCTTAAGTGTGGACTTAAATGCTTCTGTAATTTTGCAATTATTACTAAATTGAGAAGGCTAGTTATTTCTCCTATAGGATGAAGGGAGTTGCTATTATTCGATTCCAGTGTTTAAGGTGGGCCAGTTTTTAGCAACTCATCAGCATATTACACGCCTTGTAGGACCGAAATGCGTAATTATCTCTACAAGAAATAATTAGACTTAAATTGGTTACTATTTACCATATTAATATTCCAAGAGAATCTACATTAATCTGAAATTAGCATAAGTAAGCAGGTAGGTAATTATATATCAATGATCCTAAATGACAAAAAAACAACTAGCAATAAACGTATTATGACACAAATGAAAGAGAGACTTTATCAATATGACTTGTGGTCCCTTAATTTTTTAACTGTAGGGAGGGGCAATTTTACCTTAGTATTTTAAGTAAATCGTTTATTTGTGGCTAACGACATCGACGTTTACAGTTTTAAAAAATCAGTTCCGTCACAGTAGTGTCTTCATCTAGTTTCGTCTCATTTTAGGAAAAGAAAGCTAAAATTAAATATGTATTGCGTTCCATTCATAGCTCGCATAATTTTCGTGTATTTTCCTTTTTGTGTTATTTATCCATTTCGGAAAAGCTGTTATACTTTGTTCATGTGTTTTTTGATTTACAAAACTTTTGTTTACTGTGCTTTAGTTTTTACCATCCAAGATCCATTGACCATGTCACAATCATTTACCAAGGTCAATATTATTAAAACCATTGTGCAGATTTAATAAACCAAGCAATTATTTGTAAGATTTCTAAATAACACTAAGTTAATTATGGAGATAAAAGTAGAATTTATAAATTTCTAAAAAAATATTTTGCTTGAACTTTTAAAGGACTATCAACCTAAATTTCTTAACTCAGACTGTTTAATAAAACGTATGCTTGAAGAGCTGAATTTGATTAAGAAGGTTCAAGTCAATGTCTGTGTCCAGTTTCCCTCTTGGTCTGTCTAATTTGTCATCTTCTCAAAAAATTTCCCTTGTCAAACAGTTCCTTCACTTTTTCCTATACAATACTGGCCAGTTTCCTGACTTTTCCCTTTTGATGAATAAGGAAATTTCCAAATATTCCTCCAATGACGTAAGTATGTATTTAACAAATTTATTTTATAGTCATTAGGGTCGTTAAAAAAGCTAACATCGTGCATAGAAGACATCTCAGTGATTGAAAAAGAGTTGTCGCGTCTCTCAAATTTCAAAATTGACCAATTTCTTTTCGTTCTGGGACCAAATGCTCTGAAGCCCGTTCGTATGGTGTTACTAAACTTTCATCATTGTCATAGCATGGAAGAAAACGATTGTCAGTCATCCATTGATCCGAGGTTCTCAATTTTTTTTCGGTACCTCATAGAAAGCCCTTATTTCAGTTCGATATTTGGGGAGACTTCACCTACGCGCCTTCAGTTGTACTTCAAGGCAGACCGAACGTTTCGATGTGATGATTTTATCCCCAAGGAAGCCTTTAAGCCATCAATCAAATGCACTCATGTCCTGAATGCTGTGCTGTCCGCTGAGGACACCATGGAACTTTCCTCCTGTGATCGCCCATCTCCAAGTACTGAATTAGACGACCTCCCTGTGCAGTATTTCCTAGAAGGTGGCGACAACATTTGGTTCTCTTGTTCAAGAATTATTACTGGATGCTAACCATTTAATGCACTCGTGTTCTTGCACGTGATGACAATGCTCTTGGGGTAAACTTGTGCTTCTATTTTACCTTTTTAAAGTACCTTACCTCCATTTATATGTTTTCCTGATGATGATGACGACGATGGTGGTGGTGGTGGTGGTGATGTTAAGGACTGCATAGTCTTAGAAAACTTCTTTTGCGCACCCTCATAATGCTGATATCTTCAGTGTGGTGCTGATTTTACAGAGTGCTTAGGTTATGTAACAAGTTGGTAAAGTTGATTCCTTAATATTGGTTAGGAGCCGTTCTTTCTGTCGTAACATCTTCACAACACACAAACCGCGAATCTAGCATCGAGTCTTGTATCTGCGTTTTGATGAATTTCTCACGAGCATCTTTTGCTTAGGCTGCTCGAAAGTTCAGCCTCTTTGACATTTGCAAATATGCGAATGTAGCCATTTCCGCCTCGATGTTATGTTTGTAAGAGCCAATACATTTTTTCAAACAGTTTTATTTGCATCTTAGGTAGTTGATTTCGTCTCCTTTTGATATTCTTCGTAGATCGCATTCTTCAGTGCGTCTTCATTCAGAATTTGCTAATTCAATTGTCAAAATACGGCTTTTTTAGATTGTGTGCACAACATATGCTGACCTTTGCTCATGCACAAGATAAGTAGATTAATTCCTTAAGCAATTTAACTTTGGAATTTGCTCCCTTGCTAAATAAGTACACAAAGTGAAGCCCTCGCTTGTTCATTTTTGGTCGCTATCGTTATAAGTTGAAACCTTGGCTAGTGCAGGTAGCACTTTAATCTCCACGTTGTCTTTGTATTAGTCACTTGATAACGTATCTTGATGAGCCCACGTGTGTAGGTGAGAAGAGGACCCATTGTCCGTGGAATTTGTTGAAAAATTATTTCGCTGTCACTTTGAAGCAAGATATTCCTTAATGTAGTAATTAATTTGACGTTCCAGTATATCTGACACGTCTGTAGACACCATTTTAACATTGAACACTTTCGTTTTCCTGCGCTACATTCGTGGATTCTCTTTTAAGTACCGTCAGATTTGGGTGCACGCGGTGCACTCCAATAAACTACTTCAGACACACCGATGGCTGTCATTGTACCGTTTTTTCACGCATACCCAAAACCAGTTCACATACCTTGTTTTGGTAATTCAGGAATGATTTTAGGGACTCCTGACTCCTCATTTTGGCGAGATAATTGTGCCGCGTTGTGATTACTATTGAAGTCGCCAAATCGCTTTTGGTAGCCAGCTCGAGAGCTCTGGAAAGAAATCTCACTCAAATACAAGAACATTTGTTTTTAGACATCATAACTGCTATTTGAAACACTTACCTCTCCCAGTTAAAATACGAAAGATTGAGCATCACCGCACTAAAACAGAGCCCCGCTTCAGTTAGCGTCCTTTCAGCCTCTTTTGGCTGACCTATATGTCACGCGTGTTTCAGCAAGGAATCTTAAAATTCTTACCTGCTAGCAGTAGCGTCTGTGCATTCTGAACCTCCTTCAAAGGTATCTCACGAATTTTGCGAATGTGTTCAACTTTATCCGGCTAAATATATATATAAATAAATGTACTTCAACACTCACCTTGTCGATTGCCGCATAGGCTATTTCGGCCAGATCCAGCCTTCTTGTCGCTGTGGCTAGGCCGGCTAGACAGGCCCATAGAAGAGGGTCCTTTAAAGATAGTGTTTCTCAACTTCAGAAATGCATCTATAACCCACCTTAGCACTGCGGCATAGTTGTGTGATTTGAGTCCACTTGTTTTTGGCAGCAAAGTCGTTTAGTAGACCTGGGTAGGGCGAAATCGAAAAGACCACAACTGTCCCCTCGGGACGACGAATAGTTATTTGATTTTTGTGGAAGCTGTTTAAGGTGGAATACTTCCCACTCCCTTCCCTATAAATAAGTCAATATTTAAATTTTAGGCTTCTACATGCCAGACAATAACGCACCATCAGTTCTTAGATGAAATATGAATCATTTTTTAACATTTGCCCGGAACTCGTGCTGGGCGACCTCAACTCGATTTCCTGCTGACGTGATTGGGGCTAACTTATGACGGTTTTGATTATTTTAATAAACTCGAGCAATGCTCGTCGTCAAGTTAGGCAGTAATTTTGTGGACGCGGCCAACTCTTACAAGTTCAGGTCATGTAAAGTCCGCAAAAACGGTACTTTTAAGAAAACTTGTCAGACGTCTCGGGAAGGTAGAGTCACACACTAGTTAGTCTTCCGTTGTCGCCGATCAAAATTGTTTTTGCAAGCTGAGCGAATGTTATAAAATAAAGTGCTTGTCCTTAAATGTTCAATTTTTTCATTCGTCAAGTATCAGCTGTCTAAAAGTCATAGGGATGCAATGATTGCGTCACGGCATGAGGTGTACTCACCTACTGCACGACCCTTCCCCACCTCTGTTACCGTGTTGTCTCTGCCGTGTCCTAGATTGCACGAAGACAGTCCAAACAATAGTTCGCCCATTTTAAGGCTATTTTGTAATAATATGTACAGACACACAATGGCAAACACTTTCTTAATGCACTTACCGACTTTTTACTGCCCAACAATCCTGTGAAGAAATAGAACGTGGACGTCTGAATGAATGTACTACCTACCTACTTTCCATCTAATTTTGCACTTTAAAGCACTGTATTTTTACTTTAATCAAGGGTTTTACCCCCTTGCCTTAGATTCGGTACAAAATGTGCTAATCGCTCTGGCCACTTTGGCGTTTTCACCACTTCCTTGAAAAAGTGAAAGGCGTCACTTTTCCACATCCTTGAGTAGGCGACACATCGGTTTATAGTGCTAAAAAAGTTTTTGTGGTGTCATTTGGTCGTTCAAACAAGCAAATGGCCAAACCCCCATATTGATGCCCATTGGAATAATCCCTCATTATGAATGCTTTTATAGGAAATGCTACAATTAAGGGTCAAATGGAATAGCTGCTTTTGTTTTATAATTTTATGAAGTCACAGGTTTTCCTTGTTTAAGGACTTCTTTTCTAAATGTGACGCATTTTTTACTGTTGAAATCTTAGGGCGATTAAAAAACAGTACTTACAACACGTCCTTCTCCTCTTTAGTTAAGTCTATTAGCTCCTTATCAATGAGGGAAATAGCTGGATAATACCAGACAATAAGTTTTTCATGCTGAGTTGCAGTTAAGAAGTTCTGAGTTTCTGACCACATGAACGCTGTGATCCTGGCTCCTTCAAAAATAAAAGACGTGTGTTTTGGACTTTAAGACAGAAGGAACTTGTCTCATTCTTAACACTGCTATACCTAATTTGATCACGACCCTGTTGCGCCCATAGACACGAACTTGATACAGGAAGAGGTCTTTGTTTCTATCAAGTACAGCAAGGCGCCGCTCCACAGCTGAGTCCTTCTGGTTCAATCCTAGTGATATTACGTGTGCCTACAAAACAGTGGTTTTTTGCAAGGACAGTCATGAATTTTAACGTTATTATTTTGTTTTAGTTTCAATGTGGTATAATCAAATCAGCTTTTACACTAGATCTGGAGGTTGTCTACGCGACTTTGGTCCCGCAGATTAACCGATATTCATTAGTAACGTGCTTGTAAAATAGCGAAGCTCTATTGTGTGCAAAACCACTTCTCAACACGAAACCTTTTAGTGAAAGTAAGCAAGAATTAAATCAAGAGATAGTGAATGATTGTAATGCATGACTCGTAAAACATATCATGTAAATACTTTCTGAAAGGCTTGAAATTTTAGTTTAGAGAAGAACCGATTGTGCACTTTTGCAAATCGAACAGGCTGCCCACTGTCAACATAGCGGTGGCAAGACAACCCAAACAACTCATGTCCCTTGTCATGTCTTAATGAAATTTCCAATGTCAAACTGGTTTTTTAACTGATAATAGAGCCGCTTTGCAACCAGACTTTTCTAATCAATGTCACAGCATAACAAACAAACGAAATAGCGCGGTAACACAAGACGGAAGGTTTTAATTTGCATCAAAATGGCGAACTTACTGAGTGGGTGATCGGTTTCCCATCTCCAACAGGTTTACCGGAATTGACGTCAAACAAATGTATTACTATATCAAAAAGAGGTCTTAAAACGTTCAGTGTAAAAAGTAATGTCAAGAAAGAGAATGAAACGAATGGGCACCTTTTTCGTCTTCCGCATCCTTAGCAGCAATTGTTTCACAGCTGAGTGCAACGCAACCAGCGTACACAAGGTCAGTTCTGATATTAGAATTCGTGATGGACGAAATTAGACGCCCTCCGTAATTATAGACAAGAAAACTTCCCCAATCAACCAAGAGGAAAGCACTATCGAAATGAAAATCCTTGCTGGTTAATACGTTAGTTGGTTAGCCACTTGTTTAAATAAATAAAATAGTAAACAACCCAAACAAAATCAAAATAAAATTATCCAAGGAATGGTATATATTCATTCCTCGTTTACTATTGAGAAAAGTGCCTACATTTTCAATGGTTACAGCCAGTAACGTGCTAGATGTTTTCGACTGTTTGCAGTGATTTACGATGAATTTATAATCTGTTAAGTAATGGAAAAAGAGAATTGTGTCTACATGCTTGATACAAGAACCTGAACGTAGTTTCACCCACTAAAAAACCTACGCAACCTCGGCTGAATAATAACAGAGCTCCAAGCTCAACAAGTCAAATTTATTGAGGAACAAATCGTGAGCAAAATTCTTAATTCATTCTTTGCCCCGTCAATAAAAGCCGAAGACGGGAGTTACAATCACTTACTCTTGTGATTGGATGATTAGCGATATGGTAGCATCCTTCAAGTCAACAATAATGGGTGTATTAAAGTTGTTAACGCTGAAACAAGAAAAACTGATTGCTAGGTAAAAATCATTTTCAAAATCATAAATTCGTGAAAACAGAATTCACAAGACCTCTATAAACCTTCGCGCCTCGATTAAGTTTTTAGGTCTTTGGGTTTCGAATGAGGAGCATTTGAATAAGCGGATTCGTAAGAGAACCCGGGTCAATTAGTATGTACGCTGATTCTTATTGACGACCTCAGCCAATTCATCGGAGGTAAAAATTTATGCACGCCCTTTATTTGTGATTGATTTACAGGCAGCAGTGTCCAAAAGAACGGAAATGATTTTAAACCAGGCAAAATAGTTGGATTATATTCATGTCATGTTAGACAGTGATACGCACCTGTAAATATGGCATTGATTGGTAGTTAAAGCGATTAAATGTTCATAAGCAAGCGAAACTCTCAGGATCCGATCTCGAAACTCCAGAGTATCCTTTGATTCGTCGCGAACGTTTGTGATAGTTATGGTCTTGGCACTAGACACCACTGCTTCAAAACCCACACATTCAAGACAACACTCGCTCACATGCGCAAAGAGGACACCTCCAGTGGCACCCACGGCCACCACGTTTGTTCCGTCCGGAGACCAGGCAACATCTAATAGGCTACCGATATTCGGTTTCTGCATATTGTATGACCACTGAGCATGAAAAGAGAGAAGCAATCAATGTTATAGAAACGTAGTATGGAAAGAAAATTTTAATTTTTAGGCAAACTATGGAAGGCCGTTTTGGATTTTCCTAAGCTTGTTAAATCGTTAGGTGATTAGCTCAACCAATTTAGTGGAGAAGAGACACTGGAAATTAATAAGTTAGGGCACTTTTGTGTGAGGCCCTATTACAGAATTTGTCTATTCTAGGAATTTATTTTGATTCATAACAATTAAAGCAAACTTTCCGGCAAAGCCATTATATTGTTGGTAGGAAGCTGGTAATAATGTGACCAACGTTGAAAAAACCCGGTACAATACACGTGTCAGAAGTTACTTTTGATTTCGTATTTGAGTTATTATAATTTCCTCCTGAAGAGATATAGTAACGAAGTATTTTGAACATCCTAGAAGGAACTAAAGTCAATATTGCAATGGTAACAAATATCTGTTTAAAATTAATTGATACCTTTGGAAGAATTCTGCTGTAATACTTTATTAAAACAAAGATGCTTGTAAGAACCAGTTGATGTCCTTACTAATTGTTTAAAGTTGTGTGTCGGAACAAAATCAGGTGTGAGATAATAAACATTACTTTTTGTTTGGATGGTCTTACAAAAAAAGTAACTCCTTGGTGTAGATGTTATTCCATTACGACCTTTTTTAAGAAAAATATTTTTAGACCAACATTTCCATACATTCACGAGCAACAACTTAACATGGGTATTCAAATTAATTCCAAGTCAAATTGACCTACCCCTATTTTATCGCATAAACGGAGGGAGTTATAGCTGCCGATAATAAAGTGCTGTCCATCAGGTTTCCAAGAGAGTGAACTAATCGGGTTGTCATAGATTTGACCCGAATAGAGCATGTGACCAAAGCTATCCCACACTTTGTACTTACAGTCTTCACCACCAGAAATAAGCAATTCGTTTACTGGATTCCAGTCAACCTTCAGGACCATACCTTCGTGAGCCATCCACTGCAAAATATGATTAGGTTTTGCTAAAACCAGCCAAAAACCATGAATGAAAAAAATAATAACAAGTATGAGAACATACCGCGATGGGTGTGTTATTTGGTCGAATTGATCTGATTACTAACTGTTTTCCGAAGGTATGGACAATGTGTTCAGATCTAGGGCCCCAAGACAGACCATAAATGGATACATCTAAACACGCCTGTAAATAAAATTACACGACTTACTGATTTTAGCTAAAGTCGATCTCAACATCCCACTGCGCGACCAGATCTTTATGTGTCCATCTTCACCACCTATGATATTGATATATGAAGGAGATTGTTAGCCTACAGGTGGCAAATGAGTTCCCATCATAGCTCCATTTTAGACCCAGAACGGCTCCTCTATGTGCTTCAAAGCTTTTTTCAATTCTTCCGCTTTTATTAATAATGTGAAAATATCCTAACAACAAAATGTTTTTGGATGATAGCATTTAGTACCATCAGTAGAAGAAACAATAAAGCTTTTGCAGGTAGCGCTCTTGCCCATAGTACCGAATACCGCTTTTGGCGGACAGGCAATGGCCACAGGGAATACACTTTCAGGAAGGGACACAAGAATTGTGTGTTGACTGTTATTAAGGTTACAAATATTCACGTTATGATCGTCT